GCAGTGGGTTGCCATGGGCTACCGTGTATAGCCAGCAGCCAGCGTGAGCGGCCAGCAGCCACTGTGAGTGGCTGTCGAGAAGCCGTCGACTGATCTGTCTCGCCCGGGAAGAGCGCAGTGATGGTGCCTACTTGGGCCAGTGAAGGAGGGAGCTAAGCAAAAAGAGCTATAGAAATGTGCAGAGATCCCTTAGGTCTTTGCTGAATAGTACTGCATGCTTCCATAGAGTGAAACTCCATGAAGTCAGGCAAAGAAAGTAAACTTGGTGCTGACAGCTGATCAACTCCCAGAGCTCACATGAGGCTGGGAATCATTTAATCTACCACCAAATAGTCCTCATTGATTCCCTGGGACATGCAGTAGCAACTCCAGAAGAGCCATACCTTAGTAATGAGGCTAAACTATCCCTAGAATAAAAACTCTTCTAACAAAGCTTAAAAACAAGCCTTGAAAGGATCACACTGAACTGTAAGTAACATCACTGCCTATCAGAACAAAGCCCAATGCAAAATCCAAATACTCAAAAATGTACATCATAGTGGGAGGGGGCTTGTCACTTTGAGGGGTAAAAAGTATAACTATTGCACTGTGTTGTACACTTGAAACTAATAAATAAATAAATAAATAAAATAAAATCACTACATATGCCCAGAAGCAGAAAAATGTGACCCATAATCAGGAGAAAAATCAGGCAACAGAAACAGACCAAAGGAGTTCCAGTCCAGATGGCGGATTGGTAAACACTGTGCTCGCCTCCTCCCACAACCACATCAAAATTACAGAGAAATTATACAACCACCACCCTTGAGAACCACTTGAAGACTAGCTGAACATAACTCCTATAACTAAACATATAAAGAAGCCATGTCGAGACTAGTAGGAGGGGTGGAGGTGCAAAATGGGCTGGTCCCACACACAAATGATATGACACACCACATAAATAAAATGAAAGATAAAAATCATATGATCATATCAATAGATGCAGAAAAAGCATTTGACAAAATCCAGCATCCATTTAAGTGGGAACAGAGGAAATATACCTCAACATAATAAAGGCCACATTTGACAAAACCACAGCTAACATACTCAACAGTGAAAAGCTAAAAGCATTTTCCTTAAGATGAGGAACAAGGCAAAGATGTCCACTTTCACCCCCTTTTTTTTTTTTTTTTTTTTAGCTGAGCCATCCTGCCACCTTTTGGCAGCTCAGTGGCAGCTCAGCTCGGGCCGGGCATCGAACCGCTGTTGCTCAGAGCTCAAACTCTTGAGCAAGCTCTTAACCAACTGAGCCACTCGGCCGGCCCATCACTTTCACCACTTTTATTCAACATAGTATTGGAAGTCCTAGCCACAGCAATAAAACAAGTAAAAGACATCTAAATGTACAGATCTCCAGAATCACAACTAACACCCTAAATTATAAAGCATTTGGTAAGGCAAACACCTTTCGGAGTATTTCCCCAGCTGCTCAGCATCACATCCAACAACCACCGCTGGATCAGATCACAGGAAAATTCCTAACCCAAGATGAATTGACCAGGTTCCCTCTCCTAGAAATTTGAACTGAGGCTGAGAGACAAAACTTTGGCCTGTGAACTTTAACATGGAAATGGTGGAACTTTAACACGTAAACGCAAGAACTATAGGACGGCTGTCCTCTGCCACACAGGTGAAGCAGCAGGAAAAGCTGCTCTGAGGAAGCGACAAGAAAGTCTGGGCCCCAAGGGCTTCCCAGGCTGCACAGAGTCCCTTCCAGACCCCTAGCAGCATTCCTGACCTTGGGCTCCATAAGATGCCCCTAAAGGTTTATACAAAAAAGAACTCTTTTTGGCTTAGGCTGAACGGCTTGAACAAATTTCTCACTATTAATACCAGGGAGTTCTAACAAACACAAATACCAGGCAATTGGTGGCTTTGATGCTGCCATACCCTACAGCATGGAGCAGGACTCTCCTTTCCCAAACCAGGACTTGGAAGAAGTCACAAAAAGGGTCCTGGCTCTCTCTTTCCCCTCCTCCTCTCCACCAGCTGCAGCATGCAGCTTTATAGAAGGTTAGGTTCCCAAACACCCCTAATCCCATCTGTTTGGTACTCTCTCTAAATGATGGCTAGGTTCCCAGGATTGACCACAGAAGCCTAAAGAAACCCCAAACTTCCAGAAATGCAGTAAATTTCTAAGAAAGTGTGATTTAAAAAAGAATTAAAGATCCGGGCCCAAGCTGAGTTGCCGCTGAGCTACCAACAGGTGGCAGGATGGCTCAACTAAAAACAAAAAAAAAAGGAATTAAAGACAAACAATAAAATTGATTCTAGAAATACACATATGATACTGCTTCCAGAAAGATGGAGCAGACATATTTTTCCCTAAATCTTTCACTAACTACAGAAATATCCTTCAAGAATAAAGGGATAAATCAAGACATTCTAAGATGAAGGAAGACAAAGAGAATCTGCTGCCAGAGTGTCTAAAGAAAGTTCTCTAAACAAAAGGGAAACAATAAAAGAAGGAACCCTGGAACATCAGGAAGGGAAAAAAAAAAAACATGATATGATTGTCTACATAGAAAATCCCCCTCATCCCGGTTAGAATGGTTCTCATCAACAAGACACGTATAATAACAAGTGTTGGAGAGGCTGTGGAGAAAAAGGAACCCTCAGAAAAAGAGGGGAATGCAGATCGGTGCAGCCACTATGGAAGGCAGTATGGAGGGTCTTCAAAAACTTAAGAATAGATTTACCACATGACCCAGCAATCCCTCTCCTGGGTATCTACCCAAAAAATCTGAAAACATTTATCCATAAAGATATATGTGCAGGGAGGGGGGTTGTCACTTCGAGGGG